CTCGAGAAGCTCCTGGTACGAGCGAGCAAGCTAGCATGGCATTAGCATTACTGATCCCAAGTGGTTGTCAATGTAGATGTGTCGCAGAGCGATCGAATGCTCTGCTCAGGGGCTCGTCATGGGCTGATCGGTGGTCGAGGACAGAGGCGCGAGCATGGGAGAAGGGTATAGGAACAGGAGGCAACGCACCTTGGCCTTTCGACCCAGGGCCTCGGCATTCCCTCTATTCGCCTGCATCCCTCCGTCTGGCAATGACTGTCAGGCCAAGGCCGACCGAAGCGAAGCTCGGCGTGGTCGGCGGTCTCGGGCAGGACGGAGAACAACTCGGGGTCGGGGTCTGGTCCGGTCGGCGTGAAGGGGTACGATGAGGACGGGCGTCTCGTGGGCGAATAGCGGCGCGCAACAGGAGCAAGGTGCGTGCAACAGCGTGGCGATGTAAAGAGGAGGTGATGTCGAGCAGGATACGCGTCGAGAAAGGGCCAGTCGCAGGGGGTGTGGAGGTGCAATTGAAGCTGTCGTCGGGAACAGTTCAGGGTCGTCGGTCGTGACGGTGGGACGTGACGAATGGCTGGGGGGAGAGCACTGTGAAGTTTACCTCAGGTAGTGTCGAGGTGCTGCTAACGTAAAGGTGCAGGTAGGTAGGTAGGTAGGTAGGTACCTTCGCCTTGCGTTGGTGGCAGCCCGTCTGCTGCATTCACGAACGGACCCGGTCACCGCAGTGGGGACGGGAGGTCGGAGAACGTGCTGTCAGTCCAGTCAACTTGCGTCCCCGTCAGCTAAGGCGAGGCGGACAGGGACCAGGTGTCACAGGTACTTTGTACCTCAGCTCTTGTGCTCCGTCACTCGGTCGCAGTAGAGGCCCAGAAGGTGGGAAAAGGGTGCAAGGTCCAAGGTGGTGAGCCGCCACTTGCCGCCTGCAGTGGAAGGGGGAAACACCACAGTCATTTGTGAGATTTTCAGTCGCCGGCAATGGACAGGCCCGTCAGAATTCCAGTACCATGATCCGCCACAGTCTGGGTGGTCTGGGGAAGACACTGAATGCCTTGCCTAGAGTGCCTAGGTAGACTGGATGCATTCCTGCAGCAGCTGACTGTGCATCTGCGGGCTGACCTCGAGCGTGCAGCAACGCACGGGCGACTTCAGATGCAGAGATGAACAGCATGCTCTGGTTAGTGTCACATATAACGAACTATCCGTGCATACTTCCAGATGCATCTCGGGTTGCGAAAGTCAACGTCGATGCATGTTTTGTCAGAAGCCGAGCAATTGTTGAAACAACCGGGAGTCAGATTGACAAGACGGGAGTCCACTTCATCCATCCAGGTGCTTGGCCCCCCACCGAGGCCTCGGGCATTTTCCTTCCATAACAGACGCCCTCCACTGCAAGCAATATGCTCCTTGGGCTCCGTCGAGGTAGCACCTCGGACGTGGTGGACAAAGCAGACGAAGCTCGGGTCGCTGCATGAACATGCGGCAGTATGGGGGTGGCTGGTGCTCGCATGCCACGTCGAGCCACACTAAGGTAGCACGGGTACCTTAGATACCTACCTTACCTTAGGTAAGGTGGAGGAGATAGCTCCAGAGCCCGTGCATGTGGCTTGACCCAATGGCGGCAGAGCTGACTGGAATGACCTCATTGCTTCCCGCGGGGAATTGTTTCCGTCCACTGAGCTCCCGCTGCGACCCTCTCCTTCCGACACCGCTCCGTTTGCAGCTGTCCGGTCCCCAGTCTTTCCCTCTTGGACGTGGTGTTGTGCTCTTATCATTGCCAGAGCCAGCGGAAAAAGAGCTCCCACGCCCGCCATTGAAGGCGCACTATTTTCTTTTACACCAATTGAGTCTCACCAACCTCAATCTTGACAACGCCGCCGCCGCCGCCGCCGCCGCCGTCTACAGAAGCGATGTACATCCCAAATCTCCTGGCCGTTGCCGCCCTTCTCCGGCTGGCTGCCACCTCCCGCATCCAGCAACCACTCGGCTCCGGTTCTGCTCCGCCCACGCCTCACGGCCCGGCAGCCGCCACGGAGGCCGCGTCCGATGCAGCGCCTTCTTGGCGCAACGACCTCATTTCTCTGCACCGGTCCCTCATCGAGATCCCCTCAATCTCGGGCAACGAGAGCGAGGCCGGCAAGTTCCTAGTCGACTACCTTACCGGCCGGGGCTACATCTCTCATCTTCAGTTTCTGCCCCCGCGCAACAAGGACAACAATGAGACCCCGCGCTTCAACGTTCTCGCCTGGAAATCGAACGAGCGCCAGCCCAAGCCTCGCATCGTTGTGACTTCCCACTACGACGTCGTGCCGCCTCACATCCCCTGCAGCATTTCTGACGAGAAGATCACCTCCGAGACTCGCATCAGCGGCCGCGGAAGCGTCGATGCAAAGGCCAGTGTCGCTGCTCAGATCATCGCCCTCGAAGATCTCTTGAGCGAGGACAAGGTCAAGGAGGAGGATGTGATGCTCCTGTTCGTCGTTGGCGAGGAGGACACTGGTGATGGCATGCGCTTCTTCTCCGACTCTCTCCAGGAGACTGAACCCCGCTTGGAGTTTGAATCCGTCATCTTTGGAGAGCCAACCGAATCCAAGCTGGCGTGCGGCCACAAGGGCGGCGTCTTCTGCGATATCACGGCCAAGGGCATTGCCGGCCACTCGGGATACCCATGGTTGGGCAAGTCCGCCAACGAGATCATGGTTAAGGCCCTCGCCAAGATCATCTCTACCGACCTCGGAAGCAGCGAGAAATGGGGAAACACCACTGTCAACGTCGGCCAGATCATTGGTGGTGTTGCCCAGAATGTCATCCCCGAGGCCTCCCTCGCTCGCATCGCCGTGCGCGTTGCCATTGGCCCAGAGGCGGACGGCGGAAACATTGTCAAGGGCAGGATCCAGAAGATTCTTGACGAGACTGATGCAGAGGACTTGGAGCTGACTTGCACGCACGGATACGGTGTTGTTGAGGCCAACTGCGATGTTGAAGGTCTGTGGCAGCAACCTTTTACCTTCGACCCACTGTCAGCTAATACGACTTCTAGGCTTCGAGACGATAGTCGCCAACTATGGCACTGACATTCCCAACTTGAAGGGCTCGCATACGCGCTACTTGTACGGGCCTGGCACCATTCTAGTTGCCCACGGGCGCAACGAGAATCTCACTGTCGCCGACCTCGAAGGGGCAGTTACGGGATTCCAGAAGCTGATCCTTCACGCCCTCAAGTAGTCCACTTGGATTCGTTGACCGTAATAATCTTTGTAATCACCAGGACTGCATATCTATAGATCTACTGGTCCCACAATCTTCTCCCACTCCTTCTGCATAACCCTGCGGAGGTCAATCTTGTCCTGGTCCGACTCCGCAACGCCCCTTTCCGTGACAATTGCATCGATGAGACTGGCAGGAGTCACGTCAAAGGCCGGGTTCCAAACGCCGACGCGCTGGTCGGCCGTAGCCACGCGGGCTGTCCGTGATGTGTCAACAGTACCGTCAGCGTTGACGATGGCGCCGGTTATTTGCGTCAACTCATCTCCCTTGCGCTCTTCAATCTTGATGTCTTTGCCAGTCGCCGTTGCCAAGTCAATACTCGTCGTCGGGGCTGCAACAATAAACTTGACTCCATGATATCTGGCAACAACAGCGAGCTGGTAGGTGCCGATCTTGTTGGCGGTATCACCGTTACGGGCTACGCGGTCGGCGCCGACGATGATAGCGGCGATGTTCTTCTCCTTCTTCTTCAACTCGAACAGAGCTGTGGCCATGGAATCGGTGATCAAAGTGCTGGGAATGCCCTCGTAGACCAGCTCAAAAGCCGTCAGTCTGCTGCCTTGGTTGTAAGGCCTGGTCTCGGTGCAGAAGGCGTGCTGGAGAAGGTTGTCGGAGAAGAGGGTCCTGATGATGCCGAGGGCGGTGCCGTGACCAGATGTAGCCAGAGACCCGGTGTTGCAGTGTGTGAGGACCGAGATCTGCTTCTCTGTTGAGGCGCCGGCCTTCTTCTGCAGCCATTCAGACCCATGCTTGCCAATGGCGAGGTTGGTCTGGAGGTCCTTCTCCAAGATCTTCTCGGCCTCTTCGATGTAGGCAGTGATGATGGCCTTGGGGTCGTCTTGTGGGGCGCTGCGAATGCAGGCCTTCAGTTGGAGGATGGCATTGGTCAGGTCAACCGCAGTAGGCCTGCTCTCCTTGAGGTAGTCCAGACGAGAGTCGATGTAAGAGACGGTATCCTGGGCGGATGAGGCGGTGCAGCTTCCATTGTGAAGCTCAACGGCATGGGCGAGAGCTGCGACAATAGCAATTGCCGGGGCGCCACGGACCCTCATGGACTTGATGCAGTCGAAGGCCTCCTCGCTGGTCGAGACATCGTCGTAGTGAAACTCATGAGGCAGTCTCAGCTGGTCGAGGACCTCGAGACGACCGCGGGTATACTTGACGGCTTGCAATCCGGACATGTTGCTGCGTATACTGGATAAAGATGCTTTTGAAAACTGAAAAGCAAAATTAGTCGGAAGCAAGCGGGCGCAATTTGACTCTATGTACTCCAAAATGGGACGTAAGGTTGGGCTGGGCTGGAGGGGTTCCAGCAACCAGCCCAGCTCACCTCACAAAATTCTGCCGTGCCCCTCCATTAGCACACTTTGGCGGCGTCATTTTCAGCCAATCGACCATGCAGGTGGCAGCTCACCGCCCTCGGCGGATCATCGGAGCATTGAGCTGAAGAACACTGCTCTGGGAAGCTTGCACTGGAACCCCCTGAGCCCCGCGACAGGGATCCGCCGAAACGGTTGCTGCCGGCCGGCGCACCTCTCACACCTGGCACACACCGCTGCGCAGCTGCACCGCCCACGACGTCCGTTGCGACGGAAGCTCCACCGTAGCTTCACTGACCTCGCCGTCCAACACGGATCACCATTCGGACACGCAGACAACACCGCGCCAACCTCGCCCGCCATTGAGCCCTGCCGTCGCAACGGAACATGTAATTGTCGCCTCAGCTGGAGGAGCCGTTCAAGATGGAACGGCCTTTTTCAACCTCCAAAGTCACTGGTATGTCCTGCCAACCCCTGTGCAACTTGTCCGTCGCACAAACCGACAGAGAAGGACAGAGACGGACAGAGAGGGCTCTAGCTAACTGCTCGCGCGCGAATGCGCTGCACAGTCGAGTACTTCGATCCCCACGATGTCTACAAGCTCATAGCGCCGGGACTGGTCCCTCGCCTCCCCCTTCGAAATCTGCACTGGCAATCCCACGCAGGCCCGTTGCGATCCATCGATACCCTCCACGTCGAGCTTATATCCCCTGATGCACCCGCCGCCCCAGCTTCGCCCACCGTATCGCCCGCTCTCACAAGGTCAGTCAGCGCGAGCACCGCCAAGGACGACGGCTTTCAGACCCAGCAAATCGGCGGGAAGAGCACCGCGGCGGACATCGCCGACACGCCCACGGCCACGGCCCGCTACTCGGGCGCCCAGCGACGACACCAGATACCAGGTCTGAGGCGCACACCATACCTTAAAGTGCTGCTGATCCGATGCGACGACAGCGACACGTACAAGTCCAAGACGCGATCCGAGATACGAGAGTGGATCAAGGAACACACGCCTCCCTCCCAGTCCACGCGGAAGGCGAATACGCAAGAGAACCATGACGCCTTCGAATGGCTGGTTGTACATGTCGTCATTCCCAACACGGCCGCCGCAAACCAACCACGAGTCAGCGGCAAGGGACCTGATGCTGCCGAAAAGTCGAGGACGTCCAGATGGGGATCGGGTTCCTCAACCCTCCTGGAAAAGCTCCGATCCGACTTCAACAGCTCCAGCAAAAGCGCGCCGGACCGTATTGCACAGATTCGCATAGGTATCAATGATGTGCCGTACGATATCCTGCCTCGCGTCGTGCCCGCCACACCGACTGGCTATTCTGAATCCCGCCAGGACGCTGAGAATGCTTGGGAAGACCTCATTGGCAAGTTCAAGGAGCTGATACTCTCCTCATTTGACATGCGAGTCACGCAGTACGAAGATGATATTAAAGAGAAGGACTCGCAAAGAGCTCTTCCGGGGTGGAACTTCTGTACGTTTTTCATCTTGAAGGAGGGCCTGGCCCGAGGCTTCGAAAGTGTTGGCTTGGTCGAGGATGCGCTTGTTGGCTACGATGAACTCAGTGTCGGACTGGACACCGTCATCCAGGAGCAAGCGACTTCAGGTGATGCTGAGAGGCATGGGGGATCTCTCTTGGACCACACCGAGGATTTGGTTAAACGCGCGGAAGCTGCTGTTCAGGCTCTCGGTGCCGCCGAAGGGTCTGAGGAGGACGATGAGCCAGTTGACTTGCAAGCTCCAGATGCCCCCAAGAACGACAAGTTCGACGAGATCCCTATCAGCTCTACAAAGAAGCCCTATCGGGAGATGATAGTGGCCAACAACGTATCAGTGTTCGACTTCCGCTGTTATATATTTGCCAGGCAAATTTCGTTGCTCCTTCGCCTGGGCAATGCCTGGTCTACCCGGGAAGAGCTTTTGGCTAAGCTCAGGGAGCAACAGGAATCCGTCCTTCACGGCGTGGCCCCTCAGGCGCCACCGCCCAAGCAGACCGAAGATGTCGAGAACCTATCAATGCTGGCCGAAATCTGCCGCAGGACGCTGGAATTCGTCCCTGCCGTGTCCCAGGTCATGAGGACTGATATCTTGTCTGCGCTGAAAGCCAAGCATTCAGGCGACTCGCCCCTTCTGAGCCCAGTCTTGTCCGAGGCAATCGACAACCTCGTTGCTTCCTTCGCTTTCTCTGTTGCTCAGCAGATTCTTGCCCAGACTTCCACCAAGGCGCTCCCCATCCCCCCATCAACACTTGGCAACGCAGACACTCACGAGCAGAAGGCGTCGATCCCTGAGCTTAAGACCATGATGCACCCTGCGCGAAACTCGTCCCTTTCAGTACGGACGACGAATACTAGGCCGCCACCCAGCCCTGGCATATTCCCCGGTGCAAGTCGGGCTAGCGCAGAAGACACCACGCCGACCGCTCCAAACGCCCAATATCTGAAGGCAGGCTTAGAAGAGCTCGCTGCCAGGCGCGCCGAACTCCATGCCCTGTCTCGCAATGTCCTTCAAGGCACCGGCAAGAAGCGGGGCTGGGAAAGCGGTTGGACTTCGGCGCCCGTGGTTGGCGAATCAGAGGCCAACGAGTTTCAGGAAGTGAGCCTCGAGAATGATGATAAGGAAGAGGATGCTGATGACTCGGCACCTTCTTGCGTGGGCCTCGCCGGAATCGAGAACGGCCTACTGCACGCTGCTCTGGACAGCCGTGAAGACTTTTACCGGCTCTACGAAACACTCACGGACAAAGCCCTCAGACACTACACCGTTGCGAACCATACGCATGCAGTCAAGACCAGTATGGCTGATCTTGCTGTACTGAAATATCATCTGGGCGAGTACGGCCCTGCTGCCTCGTTCTTCTATATGACAACGCCTTTCTTTGGAGAGAACAGCTGGAGTCTTCTGGAGCTGTCCATGCTTGTCATGTACTCTCACTGTCTACGGGAGCTACAACGCAAGGATGAATTCGTACGGGTGGGACTGAAGCTATTGACGAAGGCGGCCGCCGCCGAGAACGAAAGATTACTCCAGAAGAAGTCGCTTTCTGTGGGTCCTTCTGCGGAAGTTACATACCCTGACAAGAGTGCCATCAGTGGCTTTTTGAACGAGATTTTGAGCGTTGCGGCAACGCTGTCCAACGAGGTCCGGGTTCCCCTGAACCAATTATTTACCCAAGTGGAGGTCCTAGGAACACCGGAGTATCACGATGGAAAGGACCGCTTCTCTCTTACCATCACACTGAGGAGCCTTTTAGTCGATGAGCTGAAGGTGGAAAAGGGCACTCTTCGCCTCACCCGTACTATTCCTGGTGGAACGAAGGAAGTCCGGCTGCAAACCTCGGAGACAAGCACGTTGAAGCCAGGCGTTAATAAGCTGCACTTCGTCAGCGCAGTAAGTAATGTAAACCGATGTGAAAAGGCCTCGGCTAACTAGGCACAGACGAACGTATCGGGACCCTATAGAATACACCAGGTGGACATCGTCTGCGACAACGTCCACCTGCACTGGGAGCGTGACGTCACCCAGACACCGAGCAAGACCGCCCACGTCTTCCGCGTGCCTGACGTGCAGCTGTATCGCCCAGCAGGAGGGTTGAGATGCCGCCTTACGGCGGCCAAGGACATCCAGCTCGACAAGAACAACTCGGTCGACCTGGAGGTTTCAACAGGATGGAACTCCATCACGTCCTGCGAGCTGTCGGTGAAACCCGCCACCGGTGGTCTCCGTATCAACTCGACAGAAGCCAGTTTTGTCGGCCCCTCCTTCGAATATGAAAAACCACCTGAAGCTGGACTGTTCCGTTTCGGGGTCGTCCCCGAGTCGACAACCATCAAGATGCGCTTCCCCTACACTATTGAACAAGACGTCCCCAACATCTCGGTCAGAGTTGAGGTGAATTACACGACGGAGGACACAACGTACCACTACTCGAGCGTCTTCTCAATTCCCATATCGCTGGCTTTGGGCGTAAATGTCCAAGATGTCTTCAAGGATAAGGAGCTCTTCTCCCGCTTCAGCGTCTCGACGGCATCTGCCAGCCCGCTGAAGCTGTTCACGACGAAGCTCCTTGGTTCCGAGGTCTTCAAGGCACATGCTGCCCCGGGTTCAAGTAGGACCGTCACAGTCTTCCCCAAACAGCCGGCCAGCTTGCTGTACAAGATCACCAGGAAGTCCGCGAATGTAATCAATGCCAAGACACCGCGAACCATGTATCTCAGACTCGAATACAGCGTGCTGTTGGACGAGATAATCGACCATGTCGAAGAAGTCTTTGCCGAGGCTACCAAGGAATTGCCGTTATCGACGTTCTCGGGGTTCCTGATTGGACGTATTCTTAAGGAGGTCCAATCTGGTCTTTCTGCTTATGAGCTGGAACGCGCCGCCCTGCTTGGCGAGGTACCTACGAGCTTCATCTCGCCCTTGTTGGCGGAGGGAGCCATTTCTGGCCTGGGCGCTGTTCCAGGTACCAGTGAAGATGCGACAATCATGCTGAAGGCCTTCCTGAAGGAATGGCAGACAGCCCACCCGCGACTTACAATCAAAGAAATGGACTCTGCGAGACGCTCCATTCTCATCCCCGTCGATGTTCCGTCAATCCCTGTCTTCCACTCCGTCGACATCCAGCTCCCGCCACCCTCAGAGCAAACTTTCGACTCGACCGTGGCCGTCAATGAGCTTCTCGCTGCCAACCTCCGGCTGCGGTGGACACGCATTTGGGACACGGCTGTCAGTGACGGCAAGAGCATCAACAAGGACTACGAGTTCAGCTACGAGGTCAACGGTCTTCCCGAGACATGGCTTGTCGGCGGCCGCAAACGAGGTCACTTCAAGAGCTTGGGCGTCGACAAGTCCGACACGAAGTTCGGCGAGTCAGAGCTCCATGTCCCCGTTCTATTGGTGCCACTGAGAGAGGGCCGGCTGCCGTTTCCGAACGTCGAGATTCGCGAGGTCAAGGAGGAGAAAGACGAATCGTCCCAGGCGCATGGTCACCACGAGATCGACTACCAAAACATCGGAGAGACGGTGCGGGTGGTGGCCGACTTGCAAAAAGTCACCCTCAGCCTGGACGCTAGCGGCCCTAGCGGGGGCCCGCTTGTGCTTGAGAGCGAGCATCGCGAGGTGAGCGACCGCATTTTGCTGTAGATACCGTAGACGACGCCGCCGTGATTCATGTCGCGACTCGGCATAATGTAACCACAAATCATGACAAACACTCGCCCGAGAACTTTCAATTGAGGCCCCCAAGTGAGCTCGTGCTCAGCCTCCCGTTGCCCGTGGCCTGATTCCAGCCTGACGACTCACTGCCAAGAGAGCAACGGCAGCGGGATTGCCGTCTCCATTCCGGGGCAACCTGCAATATGCATGGGTCGTCCGCCCGACCAACTCACGTGCCGCTTGCTTCGACCCCAGCCGGCCCAACGAGAAAAGCTGCACCGAGCCAAGCGAACCAACAGTCACCGCACGCGGTGAGGCTTAAGCGGCGCAGAGCTGGGGGTCGCCTGCCCAGCACGGCCCAAGAGCTGCTTCGCCCTTTCTGGGTTGTCTGTAGCCGGCGGCCGCGTTCAACAGTCGAGAGCGATATGTATCAAACCCGTGGCACAGCCATCATGTGATGAAGATATCAACGCACAAAGATGCCCCCGCTTGAAAGTGGCCCCTGTTGGTGTAGCACCTTCCCCATCAAGCCATCGTCTAATACTCTATAAAGAATGAACTTCTCCGAGTCTCACGTTCCTCAACAATCGTCAGGTCTACTGTCGCTCATCGTCTTCAACCAAGCCAGTAACCACAATTCACACAAAAAGACTACACAAAACCTAGCGGACACACAACGCAACCCCTTCAACCACCTCAAGAGCCATTTCAAAATGTCTCACCACAGCAACGACAGCCAAGTGACCCTCGTCAACAAGGACGCGAATCGAGAGCCACCCAGCCAATCGAAGGCGCCGAAGAAGAAGTCGCTATACCAGCGCTTGACCGGCTCCCGGTCCGGCGAGATCTCGGAGGAGGATATGCTGAAGTACACGGGGAAGAGCAAGGAGGAGTTGAAGGAGTGGGCCAAGGATCGGCCTGATGTTGGAAAGAACCAGGCGGCGGGGAGGGTGGACCGTGGGAACAATAATTTCGGGGTGATTGGGTTGGGAGTTCATTGAGACACCTGGGGATGTGGGCTGCAATTGTGTGTTGGACCGTGTATGAATACCAGGGTAGAGCAGAATGACGACAAGCTTCCGTTTATGTAATGCCAAGCAAGATTTTGGGAAAGTCTTTCAATGGATTTGATTTCTGTGCCAACGACCAGATGATCGCCTGTGGGAGGTGACTTGACGTTTCAACGGGGATCTCAAGATGCCGACTTGCTTTTTGTACCCGACTCGAATCTGACGGGAACGAGATGGAAAGACAGGGTTTTCAGATGGGAATGACAAGTATCGCTCGCGAGCTGAGGAGAAGACGAGAGCATGATTGGTTTGAGTTGTGTTGTGGGGAGTTGTTGGAACCGGGGCAGTGGGCGCGACTCGACGTATCGTGAGAACTTCCCGTACGCCTTTATGATGTAAGCGGGAACCCGAGCGATATCTGAGAGCCGATGCTTCATTATTTTGCCCAAACAACAGCATTCTCATCAGCATCGGTCTCGGCATGGAAAACCTCGGGCCGTTTGAAGTTTTGCTGAGACAACATGAATTCTTTCTTATAAAAGACTTATCTTCAGACTTGGGCATGTTCCAACAAAAGTCCAAGTTCTCCCATTCTTCACACCACCTTCCGCACCACCTACACTCTTTTCTTTCATCAAGCTTGCTTTGCGAAATTTACCATGGGCTCAAACGCGCCTAGGAACCTGGCCCTGAGGCTCCCGGCCTTTGGCACACCGTTGGAAAAGATCGGACTTCCCATTCCCGAAGCCACCACCGGCACCGTCGTCACTCGCGTTCTGGCTGCGCCAGTCGTTCCCTACACGCATCTCGCCCACGACGGAAAGCTCCCGCAATTGAACCTAGAACCACCCTTGATCCCCAACTCCGCCGGAATCGGGCGCGTGCACGCAGTCGGCCCTGATGCAGTGCGCCTAAAGCCCGGCGATCTCGTGTACGTCAAAGCCCAGGTACAGGCCCGAGATGATCCCAACACCAAGATCGTCATCGGGCACATCGGGGGCAGTGGGCCTCGGGCGAAGAAGCTGATGCAGGGCGAGTGGAAGGACGGGGCTTTCCAGCAATACCAGAAGGTGCCGCTGGAGAACTGCTATCTCCTCAATGAGGACCGGCTGTGCAGAGAGTTAGGATACGATGCGGCTGTGCTCCAGTCTCTCACGATGTATGCCATCTCTGCTGGCGCCATCATCGAGGCGGCGAACCTCAAGCCCGCAGAAACCATTGTGATCGGCCCGTCTGGAGGTACTTTTGGCGGACTGGCTGTCGAAATTGCTCTTGCGCTTGGTGCGAATGTTATTGCTCTTGGTAGGAACGATGAGAAGCTTGCGGCGATGCAGAAAACGATCAAACACCCCAGACTGCAGTACCTTGTCATGAGCGGTGATGATGAGGTTGATCAGAAGGCAATCATCGACAAGACGCCGGACGCGGCCGGGGCGGAGGTTTACAACGACTGGACCCCTGGCGAGCTGCCCGGCCCATTGTACCTTTCCGCTGCATCACGTGTACTCAAGTGTGAGGGCCGCATCGTTCTGAGTGGAGGCACTATGGGTGGTCTTGGGGGTATCAATTACGCCGAGGCTGTCTACAAGGATCTGCAGATTCTTGCGAAATGGGTGTGTCATCGCAAGACACTGGAACAACTCATCAACATGATCACCCAGGGACAGCTCAAGATTGGCGCCGAGAGTGGCACGATCACGAAGAGCTTCACTTTGGACCAGGTCGATGAGGCCAAGGAATATGCGAGAAAGTATGGTGGCTGGAGACATTACGCGGGCATGAGCCCTTAGAAGAAAGGAAAAGCGCAATTTTCTCCCGAAAGACATGCCACGCTAGAACTATCCAGATACTTTCATCAAATCATATTTCTTGGAGGATATTTCTACTGTCTTCTACAACTCTGAAGAGGTCATCGCGGTGCACTGATATCATGCGATACGAGATCTCATCGTGCAGGCCGCTACCCCTAGGCACGGTGGATATGATGAGGATGCCAGATCAAGGTTGGTAGCATTGATCAATTCAATTAGAGATAGAAGCAAGGAAGAAATACAAAGACACACAATATCCGTCAACTAGGGCTGTTGAAAGCCCCCAGTCAGGTTTGCCAACCGTCAACATGAAGGGCTAGACAGGAATGCACCCAAAATGTGCTTGGGACTGAAATAGCCATTAAGAATCCAAAATCGCATGCTCAAATGCTTTCAGTTCAGGTCGATTCCCTCGTAGCTGTTGATCGCGGTTTCAACAGTGCGGCTAAGGCTTTCACCACTGGACTGAATCTGGGAAGCCTGGCTTGACACAGTGTCAATGAGAGTGAAGGCAAGAGTCTGCGAAAGCCATTAGTTTTAACTCATCATGATCCGAGGCTTCTAGAAACTCATTTGGGTCACATCAACTTACATCGACGATGGCCTCGATCTGACGCAGAACCGCTGCGATGGGCTGTCCGACGAAGGGGATAGTTTCGAATAATCCGGCCTTCCCAATAAGGATGTTGAGGAGCTCTTGGTGAACGCGGACAAAACCGCGAAAGGCGTCGGCGATTGCATCAGCGTCGGGGCCAGCGGGAACGGGGGCCATGCCCTGCATCTGCGAAAGAGACGTAGTCGCCGTGCTGACGATATCGACAAAACCTCTGATAATTTCCTATTGCGAATAATATATCAGTCTACGGTTCTCCTGTGATCTCCTTGGTGATAGCTAGAAATCCTGATAGGCAGTTAACGTACCGGGAAAGGACCCTGGCCCACTATGATCAGCGGCCCATTGACGACCGTAATTGACTGAGCAGGCGCTTGAAGGGCCTGAGACTTCTGGGTGATCATGTTGATATTGCCAACAACTTGGGACGGAGTAGTTTGTCCGAGGACAGTGTTGCTGCAGATTGCCAGCGCGGCAACGGCGAACTTGAGGGTGGAGAACTGCATTGTGTAAGATTTAAGAGGCTTGAAGGTGACGTGCAAGAATTGAGTTGTTTGATAATGGAGGCTTTGTATGAGCTGGTAGCTTGTGTGTGACGAAATGGCTCGATGTTGAAGGTAGTGGAAGGGCTCTTTTATATCTGATATTTCTTGCAAAACACGATCTCTTGGTTTTTTTTCACATTAATGTTGGATGTTGTCTTGTCCTTGTGCAAATTGCCATCTAACCTCAAACACCCAAAGATCTTCATAATAAACCTTCAAAGATATCTAGGGATATACGAGAAGATCACAAGACGGAAACAGCTGTCCCTAATCATTGCAACTGAGCAAACTTTGCCGATAGTCTCGGGCTCTCATTCAAAAATTCCCCCAGTGGTCAGAGTGGTGGATGGGTTGCTTAGTTCCACTGGGAAGTACCTGAAGCTCGAAGCCAAGGCGCTTGAATTGCCCCCAAAACCTGAAAGAGACAAGATTGGCGGTTTCCAAGACTAAGAGGAAGAGGTCCTAGTCATTTGTTTCTCCCATTCCGTCAAATTCTGTCGTTGATGTCAAGACTGGAATCACCCCGAGTCTTAGTACCTTGATTGGGGCTGAGAGAGAACCAAGACAAGAGAAATGGTGCTTACTGTGGACATAGGATCTCAGACACTGGAGATCTGAGACATCGCCGAGCTTCGACTGTCAGATTCTTGAGGCTTAATGCGGCAACGGTTAAACGGCCTTTGCGGCACTCCATATGAATCATAGCAGTGCCAAAATAGTGAGACAAACATGGCGCTAAAATGCATATTGATACCGAATAGGGTTGGTGGAAGTTGTCTTCGAGCTAGGCTTTGGGTGAAATGAGAATGCGCGTATTAAGGCAGAGGAGCGGAACTCAGGTTTGCCGAGGGCAGCAAGCAATCTAGACTACTTTCCCCGTCCTGGCAGAAGCTTGCTTCGGTAAGCATCCGCAGCAAGTGAAGAGCAGTTCGTGCAGTTGCCACATGACTCTCACGCGAAAGTATTGAGCTTGATTGGTATCACATATCGGTCAATCTACATGGTGTGTCTGGAAGAGCTTGCGAGAGGTCTTCAATGAGTGGTCGGGGAATACGAGCGGTTCACAATGCATACTCACAGCAAACATTGGTCCATTTTGTTAAAAGAGTGTTGAGCCAAACGGATCTAACCGTGGAAAGCGATCTCGGAACACAACTCTCATTCCGCGTGCTAAACAACCATCAATCCTCTTCTGGAAATAGAATGGCGCACCAGTCAGGTGGCTTGCTAACATACCTAATCGAGTCTTGAGTTATGCGCTAGGGCATCTGCCATAATGACGCGCACGGTAGGTTGGAATGGATGTGCATATATGTCTCGGGACGCACAGGGGCCGCTGAAAAGCGGTTGGGTGAGTTGCCCCCAGCTCCGGGTTACCAGTCTGAGACATCTTAGGATGTCATTAGGATGTTAGTATGCTGAAAAGTTCTACTAATCGGGACACAAATGGCAATGATCTTCGTCTTATCCATCGTGAAAATATCGCATACTAACACGCCTCCACTTTATCGACTTTAATTGCTTGGCGTTTCAGATTCCCTGACGACATGCCTCGGTGTTAGTCTAGTTAACTTGAGGCAGTGAATGGGAGACCGAATCGATGTGGAACTCTTATTCTTTAGTCTTGGACGGAACATTTCTCTCCGTTTAAAACGGTGTTTAGGTGTTATAGAAGTACTCGTTGGAGAGCGCATCCACACCCAGAGATTCTCGCAGAGCCCACCGAGATTTGTCTCAGTCGAAGGTGTGCAGGAAATATTTTGGTTGGTAGAATATTGATCTAAATGGCAGGGTGACGCAGCACCTCAGAGAGAAAGGAAACAAAAAGCTGGTTTCTCGTGGGCAAAGCTTGGGCAATGACTAGAACGACTTCGAAGCTCCGCAGAGGCTCCCGTCCTCGCTCTCTACCCACTCTTTGCTTCCAACACATTGCGGGCACCACAAAAGTCCCTCTGGATCGTACTCCTCCTTGATACTGCGAAGGAGCTCATAATTGGGTCCGAAGAAAGACCATTGCCAACCGGGCTCAATCGCGTTCGCCTGTGAAAGTTGAAAACAGATTAGCAACAGACTTCGCGGACAGCTCCAAGAGAAAGCATTGAAGAGGACGACGAAAGAAGTGAATTGACAGTAGGACATAATTAGGGGCAACCGACCTCGTTCAAATAGGTTCCCGTCTCCGGGCTCAACTCTCGTAGAGCGTTCAACTTGTTGTATGTCATCTCGTTGACCAGCGTAGACACAGTGGTGTTCGGCGTAGAGTCTTTCCATGATTGGGAAGTAATGAGATGAACCACAGAATCGCGCCACGCAGGATTCAGCGCATTGTCAACGGGTACTTGACTGATCGTCATGGTTCCCGACATGGAAGGATTCCGGGTTTCCGTCCTTCACATTGATGGTTAGCCTAAGAAGTCGGTGGAAACGAACACAAAGACACGGGGGTCTCACTGATGGCGCGATGGCCTGAGGGCCAACTTGTTCCAAAACCTCGGCGGATAATTCTTCGTTTTCGTTGACAGTCTTCCGACTGATGAGTCTTGCGGCAGTGATCCCAGACCCCCCAGCGTGATCGGGAATTTTGATGCCGGTAAGAAGGGCGTAGAAGGATGGGATCGGAACGACTTGAACAGAGCCGCTCACAATACCGCTTGAGTTCGAGATCAGTTATCGAATAGGAGCGACTGCCTTCGCAACAGTGTCGTTTGACATATTCCAGGCAAAGAGTGAGCCGGACATGCCAACTGTCGCGCTAGAAGGGGGCCCTGCGATGGTATAGTAACCTTTGGTTCCTTGATCTTGAAGTGCAGGGAGCAAAGTGTGCAGCTTTGCGACGAACTTCCACCATCTCTTAGTTGATGTACCGTTGTTAGCGGACACATTGAGACCAAGCAAAATCATGTCTGGCAAAGGATACGCCTTGACTGTCATGTTGACGATGATGCCGAAGGTACCACCTCCACCTCCACGAATCGCCCAGTAAATGTCCTCATTCTGGCACGCGTTGACTGTGACTAGATCACCGTTGGGGGTAACGACTGAGGCTTCGAGAATGCTGTCTGCGCCCATGCCATATTCTCCAGTCAGGTGGCCGTGCCCTCCTCCGGTAGCCCACCCGACAACACCGACGTCCTACACGGCACATGTTAGCCAAAAGTCTTTAGGACTTTCTAGAAAATATCGTACCATGTTCGTGCCGCCTGCGGCCATTACGTTGTGCTTCTGCGCAAAATCGTAAAGCTCGCCGTCTTGGACACCGGCTCCAATGGTGATGGCCATTTGGCTACCTTTCCACGTAGAGTTTGCGGGGCAGGAGAGAGACTTGAATTGCTCATGAAATTGAGTCTGCTCATATTGTGCGTCCATATCCTGTTGAGATTGTATGAGCAATGCTGTGTAGGTGAAGAATAGGCAGAAGGAGAGAACTTGCGACAAGCTTCCGAATCCCAGGTTTCTATGCTCAAAAGTTAACCAAGGATCTTCCATCGATCAATCAGCGCGTACCTGCCAGAGCCATTGTGCCCCGTGTTCTTGATAGCCAGCCTGAGGTTACGATCTTTCGCGAATGCAAGTGCCCTCTGAATGTCGCCAGAGTCAGTTGTATTGACGACATAAGGAGGCAGAGAACCCGAAGAGCAGCCTTTGGTACCGGCATCAGGATCCCCGTTGATGCCGGTTCCGTTGGAGTAGATCGGCTCGCAACCTTTCAGGGAAGGAGAAGAGGGCACACTGGCTGGATCCGAGGAATGGAGGTCCCAGGTTGTCCAGTTGGAAAGAACGATATTGCAGGAGTCTTCGTTGTAGTTTGGCTCGGACTTGTAGCAGACGGAGGCGAGCGGAACGGTGCGAATGAGTGTGCCGGAGATGGAACATGATTTTGTTTGTCTAATAGTATATGTCTAATACGAAATGGCAACGCCGAAAGTTGGTCTTAACTTACACACTTGCACGTAATAGTCGGACTGCCGCCAGTAAGAGCAAAGGTTGCCACGAAAACTTATGCTATAGACAACATGGACCTAGTGACAATGAGTGATAAAATACGAAGGAATGTTGAATGATAGGTTTTAGTGATAATGAGTGATAAAAGAACGAATGAATGTTGAGTAATGGCTACCTCCGACACATTTGAGCCATGAAAACAAGAAGCCGTCAAATATTTATATGAATTGATGGGTCGCTAACAAGAAACCAAATCTCGGCTATGATCATTTCGCCTTGACCCAATTAAAATCGCCAAAGTTGACTCATTTGGAAATGAGAAACGAATGCTGTCATTCATCATAGTGAGATCAAAGAAACTGCAGTCGACGAAATCCATATATCCAGCATCCTGGATTGAAAGCGTATTCTAAGCGCGCTGTACGAGCTAATACGCTCAACATAGGCACTAGTAAACATTGCTTCTATGCGGGTAAACCAGAGTCGGCATATTCTAAATGCCCCAATCATTTTAGAATAAGTAGAATATGTAAGTGGCTGTGGCAGGGCCCGGTGGCACGGATGTGGTATCGTTGGACCGGATGGGATCGGAAAGGCCGATTCAGGAGCAAGTCATGCATGAACCGCGCCACTGGATTTAACCTGGCCGTGTAGTGCAATGTGCCGTCTCCCGGACACTACGATCTACATTTCCATAGCGGGTCGCCAGTGTTTCCTTGGTCAAAATATTTAAGCTCTATCTGTCTGGGCGCTCGCATAGAATCCGCGGATATCTCGTTCAGATCTCATAGCTGGAGCACCGTCGACGACCGCTCATTCACCGTTCTCGTCCGAGCCTAATCCCAAAAACCACCGCTATCCGACTAGACCAGTGGCATCTGTGACACAAGTTTTGGACAATGAGCTCATCAGAAGGCACTGTTAAACATAGAAGGCCTCACAAAAAGTCCCGATTGGGTTGTCAAGAGTGCAAGAGGAGGAAAATCAAGTGCGATGAAGCCAGGCCCAGCTGTCTCAACTGTGTACGCAGGGAGGTCGATTGCAGCTTTCGATTGGAACGATACGCAGGAGATGGCGCGTCGAAGTGCATGAATTGTCGTTTTGGAACAGAGGTCTCATCTCGACCAAACACCACGCGCACACCTAGCCCAGGTCTTTCGAACTCGACCCAGACTCATGGCATTCCGACTAGCCTACTGAGCGTACTGGCCGAGCAGTCCAAACAACTGGAAATCATATCCCAGCGATTAGCAATGATGGAAAATTCCATGGCTCGGTCTGCTCAACACGCATCTTCGCATCCCATGCTGAGCTACGCTGACATGGAGCTGCTGCACCACTACCACACGATGACAGCCTCGACCATGGCTCATGATGATAAGGGGAAACGCTTTTGGCTTGTCCGGCTGCCAGAGCTTGCTTTCCAACATCCATACCTTCTTCATCTCATGCTGGCGTTCGCTGCGCTGCACAAAGTTCGTCTCCATCCTTTACAACAACATCTCTTAGCCCAAGCCGAACGACACCATGTGCTTGGAATCCAAGGTTCTACCATGCTTCTGCCAGACATCAACGATAGCAACTACGAGGTTGTGCACACTTCGGCAATTTTGATCGGTCAAATTAATTTAGCTTTGGGCCTAAGACCAGGAGAATACATCGCATTCAGCGACCAAACTGGATCTGAATTTCTCGGGCTCTTACGAGGGGTGCAATCGATCAGGCTCCACAACGAAGGTAGCGAAAGCACAAACGCGCCCTCAGAAGCCGTAATAAACGTCTCAGTATCACGAGAATCTCCGGAATACGGAGCCGACGCTGGGTACAAATCCCATTTTCAGATGCTCCGTCGCCGAGCTCAACAGATATCCGACGTTGGGGTCAGGGCGGCTTACAACGTGGCGTTGGATGATTTGGAAGTGTTTTTCATTGTGATGGAACCATCTGCTTTTGGAAACGAGAGTAATTCTGCGTTACCCGATGCTGCACATCACACTAGCCCTCTCGGCTGGCTATACCGAATTCCGGAGCGTTTTCTAGACCAGGTTCGGAAGAGAGAATCTCTTTCATTGGCAATTCTAGCTTGTTTTGCAGTTGTGCTGAAGGAGTTGGAGCATGGATGGCCTGATGATGGCTGGGCAGATCATATTATGGCTGGGGTTTGCGAACGTACAGAGCCAGAAGCCCAGGATCTTCTACAGTGGCTAGTGTCACGCCTGGGAGACAGTCTTCCTTGATCGAACTCTTTGTCAACATTGGTTCCAAAAAAAAAAAAAACCCCCCCAAAAAAACCCATGAAGCAATACCAATTTCTGAGCCAATTCATCATTCGCAGCCGTGCTTCGGAACTTTTCGCCCTTTTCCAGGTGACGTGGCTGAGTAGAACAACATCGTACAGAATATGAAGGCATTAGCGCTTGGGAGTATTTTCGTATTCTATCTGAAAAATAACAGACTCAGCCACTGACGTACTGCCTATTTTGGACATCCGTTGCCCGACCAGACCCAATGGTTCATCGGCAACATTAGATTTTATGCAAATGCGCCGAATTCCCTTAAATGCTATTGTCACATAATTATATTCATAGGATGGAGCTGTGCGTCGCACTCCGTAGTCGAAATTCGTCTGGGTAGATTACTCCGCGATTATTCCGTACTCCGAAACCATCACTTACTCTCCGAGTGCGGAGAAAAACAGGATCTTGAACCCCGTTACCGATTATCGGAGTGACCTTACTCCGGGGCAGAACTTCCTCGAAGTTTCCAAGTACTCCTCCGTTGGCCGAACACGTCGGCCTTTCTCAAACGGACGAGTTGCACGATTTTATCGTGTCATTGAACGACTAGTATGACGCCCCGGCTGGCGGCATGTGACCCGTGTCGAACGGCGAAACTGGCTTGTGGCCATGAACGGCCCGTTTGCGCCCGGTGCGTGACAAACAACCGAGAAGATGTTTGTGTCTATCGCGCGACACCATTCAAAAGGAAGCGAACCGAGACAATTTCGCCATCATTCATATCTTCAAAAACGGCTCGGTAAGTACTGGGATGTGCTATTTGATCAACAGTCACTAAAGATCCACTGAAAGCTACCAACCACTGGAGGATTCGCCTGTGTCATCAACTCCAACCCGTTCCTTGAACCCGAACCCTGGATTTCTAGGAGCGTCTAGTCACATTTCCATCTTCAGTCACCTGATACAGGATGCGAACGACAGTCCAGAAAGAAATGCAACCAGCAGTGTACTGTCTGGGCCAGAAGCTGCGTCTAATACCATCTATCTGGACGAGGAACCAATTGTTAAAAACACAGTGGACTTGGTGAGACATGTCTTCCAAAGTTTTCCGTTGAATGCTATGCAAGATTTGATTACCTTCTGGCGTGCTACAGGCGCTAATCTAGCTCTTGCTGAACCTTTCGTGGATGAATGCTCCCGAGCCCTGAGCACCATCCTGGAAGGAGAGACGGACAAACATAACCGGTGGCATCATTCAATCACTCATTCGTTGCTTCGAAACTCGAGACAGACACTTGAAATTAATCCTGGTTGCTCTGTTTCAGACTTCACAGCTCAGTTCGTAGGCCAAAACCTGCGATGGGAAACGGTGGGGATTTTCTTCGCCGCTGTGATCCGAGCTACAATGGAGGTGCCCTTCTTCCCATCTTTGTACAAATCAGATGTGCGAAGACAGCAGCTTGTTGGACTAGCGATCAAGGTTTCGGATGCTCTGGCAGAGATATGTATATCTCTAGACTGCCTGAATGACCTCCAGCTCATTGCACAGTATGAAAACTTCATCGCTCATTCGTACGTTCTTGGGATTCAGTGTGAGTATAATGGGATGAGAACCTCCATAGATACGCAACTGATGCACCTCGCAGCTTACTCGGCGTGGAGAAGGCTTGGGGATGTCATAGCATCAATCACTGCTCTTGGTTATCACCAAAAGCCGTCAGGACCAGTTTCAGCACCCTTGTTCCTGGTCGAGCTCCGGAAAACCGCTTTCGCCCGCATTTACTCGGCCGATAAGAATTTTTCAATCTTTCTTGGTCGCTCTCCAAGGCTGAGCAAATATTTCTGTCATCTCCAAGTTCCTCAAGGACGACTAATTCTTGACTCGGAGGGATTAGATCAACCAACGTCTGACAAGACGGAATATTGGACGCAAGATGCCCAAGCTTGCTACAGAGCAGACACTCGTTGGTCCGCACAATGCGCCTCCCTCAAAGAGGATATCCTAGTCATGTTGTTTGGCGACAGTCGAGATATATGCATGGAAAAGTTAAAGTAAGCAGGGTACCTCAATACAGACTGCATCTTTCAATACTATCATGGCTAACCACACACAGGTCGATACGAGAGCGTGCTCAAAGTCAATGGATGCTGTTACCCCCTTCCCTTCGGCTGGAAGGGAGCATAAAAAGATCAGAAAGAACTCCATTTGAACGCGATTTTCTCATAAGCGCGCGTCTCAATTATCTTCACATCCTGTTTCTTACGCAACTTGTCTGTCTCAAGTCCCCGCCAGAACCGGACAAGACCATTGTTGAACTCGCTCAAGAGATTCTGTCTTTGGTCGTAGAAGCGGTCGTGCTTAGGGATCAGGCCGTCTCTTCTGGAACAAGTATAGTATGGAAGGTAAGGTTTCGACTTTCGAATCACAAAATTCAATCTAACTCTATTGAGGTTGCGCACTATGGACTTCCCGCTGTCGGTATAACGTTACTAGCCATGCTGAAACAGCCAAGTCTCATGACACTATTCAAGATCCCAAAGAACAGAACTTTACAAGATCTAGGGGTACTCGTTGCCGAGATTGAGATGGGAACTATAATTCGACCTGGAGAGCCGAATTTTACGGTGCTCTCGGCCGCTGCGGATACCATTCAACGATTTCTCGACCGCATACAAATGGAAGACTCGGAAAGTAAATACATCAGCTCGCGGAAGGAAACTAATCCTTCCGATGATTCTGGGCCATGGGACTTCGGAGTGAGCCTGGATCCTTGGAATTTTGAGCTTGGATTCTGGGAAAGTCTCGCAGAGCATCCTTCTATGTACAACAGCGGGAATCAGACTTGATGTCTTCAAGCGGCCATAAGTACACACGATTGTGACGCTATCAGCCCTTGAGGTCAAGTCTCAGTACCTGGTGAAAGTAAATATGATGCCGAGAGAAGGTTTCAAGGAGTGTCGGCTCCGGAACAGTTCTTTCGATCTCTTGAGACGAGAAATTTACTTTCTGACCGGTGCGGGTCCCTGTCATTCGGACACTTCCCCGCCGCTCTCATCTTCTGCCCATGGGGAGAATCGATTTCGCCTTGTCCTCTTGCACTGCCCCGCTGTCTCGCCATCAACGGCAATATGCCTCAATCCGCCTCTTGTGCCCGACCTCTTGTGACTTGGGGTCCGCCGAGAGTCAGAATCGCGCGGGGCGAGGAGGTCGTATTTATCGGCTTCTTACCTTTATCGACGTACGCCCTGCTTCTCTCATCCGAGGATACCATGCCGAGGGACTGTTACCACCACTCCTGTTTCTGTAGTCCAATGAATAGAGACATGATAAAAACGGCGGTGAGCACTGTTGCAATGATTGACAACCGCGAGTGGATAGTTTCATTTAATCGAGGCAGGGTTAAGCACGGAGCAGTTAACGACCAGGGCTTCGGATGTCCACGGCGGCTTCTCGACTTCCAGGCGTGATCCTTGTGTCTTGTATTGAACTCACTGCGCGCGTTTGTGACCGATCTTCAGGGTCTTACTGTTTATGGTCGTCTTGAGGCCACATGGGTCTGTAAAGTTAAACTTCAAGGGACCAGGGGTTCGGTCCGGAACTTGACAGAGCTAAACTTCAGATCACAAATCCAAAGCTATTGCGGCGTGCCAAGACGAGAAGGATCCAATTTGAGCATGTAGCATGGCAAAGAAGAAAAACGGGTTTCCAAACTTCGTTCGCCACTTCACTTCTGGAATGATCGTCGTCACCGAAACCCTTCTTGTTGCCATGTTTAGCCCACAAAATCAGTCGGCTATCAACACTATGTTCGGGAACTTGTCAAAGCTCTAGTCAAAGCACGATGCCACTTCGCTAAGTGGGCCGCCCTCGTTTCAAGCCCAGCCCAGACCACTGGGACACAAAGTAAGAGCTGTAGAATAAATGCAGAAATGCCCATCTCATTTCCGCATCTCATGTTCCGGGCCAGGCGAAAGACAGGCTGTTTAAAGTTCACGACTAGTAATAGAGTTCGTAGCTGTATGCGCCTCGCCTGCAACATACGACACGTACTTGGCTGGAGTCACATTAAAAGACAAGGTTCCCTAGGTTTACTGTGCTCTCGACAGTACTCATTCTTGATGCGCCTTATATGTAAGTGATGGGACATTGTGAACATTCATCTCTTGTCTTCGGTCTCGTTTGTCATTTTCTCCCCAACGTTGTCGGCAATCTGCCCAAAGAAAAGGGCGAGACCGAACAAAACCATGTTCGCAACTCTACGAACCGAAGATAGAGATGGGGAGGTGATCTGCATATCGAGCACAAATCAACCGCCAGCTCCGGGTCAGAATCCAAGTCACTTTGCATGTGATGGGTGCCGGGCTAAGAAGGCAAGTGATGCGCGTGGAAGATCACGACTTGAGGGAGAACGCTGACCAGCTCTATGTAGTTGAAATGTACCGGCCATAGATTTGGTTGCCAACGTTGCAGAGATCGCAATCTCGTATGCACCTACACCAACGCGTCTCAACCCAAGCGGCGCAAGACAGGGAGGATTTCGACTGCTCAAAGGGTCTCTTCATTTGGAGCCCCAACACCGTCAAGCTCGGAAGATTTAATGATTTTACCCCGCACACCTTTGGAAGACGCCAAAGTTTCTATATCAAGCCAACTCCTGGATCAGAATGTAACGAAGGAAGCAAGGCATAATATTGCGCCTATAATTTCTCGACTGCCCACGAACAGGGATACCCACGGCCCAAGCATAACAACTCACTTGTCGACAGACTCAAGCGACTCATCCAACACTTTGCCCATGGACCAAGCCGTATCTGTGCCCCCGGAGTTCCCTGATTTAGCTTTGCCGGAGTATATCGAGTCAAGCTTTCAGGAATTTGATATGGACGAACTACTCGAAGCCGACCTTGCCTTATCTGAGCATGATGAGAGAGAACTCACATTGGACAGCGTCTTCGCGTCCAGTTCATCATCAGAGAACCAAGCTAATTCTCGAGAGAGTAGCTTTGCAAACACCAGCGCAACTTCAGGTGAGTTTCAATGCTTCATAATGGGGTGCAAAGACTAATAACACCAAGGAGACGCTGAATGGGACGCAATACAACCAAACAAGAGGAAGCGGATGGAGGAATCTCTACCATCCCCGAAAAGACCCACGACAAATATGTCATCTAGTGGGCGATCTTCAACTCCTTTCTCATCAAAGATTGACCCAAAATTGGAGATTCGCCAAGCACGAGAAACTTCAACGACCAGAGACAGGACACGAACTCATCAAGCGTCTCCATGCCGCTGCATGGGAGTCACTTTGGGTCACCTCGAGAAGGTTCAAGGTCATACCAAACTCAACAGTCTTTGCTCAGCAGAGAGATCACTCAACTCTCTCAAGAAGTCGATATCACAATGTCACGCCCTGCTGCAATGCAGCTCATGCCGCAACCCTTCTAGAGTCATGACTTTCTTAATACTCTTGATTGAGAAGATGATTGGTATGTTGGGAGACATAGCATCTGTATGGGAAACGAGCTTCATGTCTTCCTCATCCGATCGGGACTCCTCGCAACTGGACTTGCATGGACACGCGCATCGCTGGTTACCAATTCACATCGGGCAGTTTCAGATTGACTCTGTCCAGGAACGATTCGAAGTTTTTGGATTCCTGATTCTACTTCAAGCAAGGCATATGAACGTTTTCTTAGAGGGACTGGTATCGCATGCTGCAAGGGAGAATTGGGAGTCTCACCAGAATGCCTTACGACCAGTTGGACTGAGAATTCGAGACTTACAAGAAACGCTGGGGGCTATGACATCTGGATCGGGATGATAGTATTATTGAGACACGAATAACGAATACACGAGCACTTATCCACTGGGAACGAGACTACCCACTCACACCTCGCCGTCGAGCGTGACGATTAGGGCGCACATCGGACTGGACATCGTGAAGCGAATTGTCGGTTGTGGCCCCCATCTGCTTCAGTATCCGATGTGGAGGCCGTTGCAACGCTAATCAAGTCCCTGGTCCCGAGTCCATGTAACACCTCGAACTTTATTCTATTCTTCCCTCAGGTTCAGGCTGCAGCGCAAAGCATACGCAACGAAACAATGCGCCTCTTCCCAACCCCCTACCCGCTTGCCTCGAGCAGAATACCGTAGTTGAGCCGCGAGTCAACACGTGTAACAGAAGTTAGGATGAGTCCGTGTATGGGACAGCCCGTAAAGAGGGCGAGAACGGTGCCCTGATTTTAGAGTTCTGAATGGAAAGTCTATTAGGGGGGGTCTCCCAGCCCGACCCCTTGCAACGGTCAAAGCTTGGCGAAAACGAAGCCAGTGGCGCACACGTAGTCGTGGCACTCGGAGAGAATTGCGTGACGGATACCACTGTGTCAAGACGGACAGATCCGGTTTTATCTAAGTCGTTTCTACCGACGCAGAAGAGTGCAACATTGTCGAAATCGGAAAGCGGGGCTTTCGATCCTCAACCGCCTTCGCATTGAAAACTTGCGGGTATATCCACTAGACGCGGTCTCGGCACCATTTCGCGGCCTCTTGGTTAAACCGAAGCATGGCCTGATACTTTCTTCGCGCCCGCACTTGCACTGGTGGGATGCAACAACGGCTTCTCCACTAAATAGTCAATCTGGAGTATCCCTTATCCCCCCGCGGGACGTCCATTTTGATCACAATGTACACTACTGCCCGTAAATCCACCTCGCTGTTACTCGAAGGCCTTCAGAACCTTATTCCAAGCGGAGCTGATCGCTTGCCCACGTGGCCGTATCGAGTCGGACGGTGTGCGCGTACTACATGGCATTGTCGGCGTTTTCTTAACTAGGAAGTCAGCCGATTCTGAACACAGAATCGTGAAACACAGAATTCAGTTCCTCATAAGGCTCTTGGAATCTATCAGGTAATCCGGAAGGAGACGATTTCGATTGTTTTGTAGAATGACTGCACAGTAGATAACCGTCATTAAAAGAAAGATTTCCATCCTAACACAGCCAAAGAGTTGGGGCAAACCTGGATGAAAACCTTCTCATGGTGTGGTGGTACAAACATCAAATAAACAGCAGATCATCCCATGTAGTGGGCAGAGTAAACGTGTGATATTCATGTACCATTGAGTTTGAACTAGATCGGCTTCTGGAAACCTTTGATATTGACATCTATTCACTAAGATCGGGCAGCAAACGCTTTTTGAACTCAATTGTCGCCACCGGGCTTGGCAAATATTGAGTCTCAGCGCGCAAGCTTTCAGGCCTACTTTGACCTTCCGCAAAGCGCATGTCGTAAGTCATGAGCAAATGCGCCATTATAGCTTTTATCTCTTGTGCAGCAAAGAAGCGTCCTGGACACGCGTGACGCCCATATCCGAAGCTCAGCGATGCCGGGTTTGACGCGACGTACTGTGCTCGACCATCCAGCTCTGGCTGCTTCTCTCTCAAGCTGCTGAAGCGGAATGCGTCGAAAGTTTCGGGTTCAGGATAAACAGACTCATCCATGGTTATTGCCTGTGTTGGAATCCCGATGGTCGTATGAGCGGGAATAGTGAAACCGGACGACAGCTTGAAAGGTCGATGCACTACACGTTCGAAGGTGACTGCGATTTAATTAATCGACAAGTAATGAAAATGAGGAGGGATGGTCTTACTTAGAAGAAGAGGGTTGAATCGTTGACTCTCTTTCATAAAGCTATCCATCTTGTTCATTTTTAAGAAACCGGACTTGTCGATAAAACCGTCCGATCCGGTGCAATTGATAACCTCTTGTCGCAACGGTTCAATTATCTCGGGTCGCTCGCACAAATCGTAGATGAGTTGTGCCGGTGCAGCAGCGCTTGTGTGTATCGCAGCAAAGCTGACCTTCAGAAGAATGCTTGCGAGGAACTTCAAGTCTTTTTCCTCGCCTTTGGCTTGCTCGGCCATCCAGTAGAGTAAGTCCATTGCTTTCTCTCCGGTCCGCTGACGAGCTTCAAGTAGCGGGATAGCTGCAGCTTCGGCAGCAGCATAGTGATTCGCAATATTCTGAATCTCGGGGATGAATCGTGCTACAACTGGCTTCAAGAACTCGGGATACTTCTTTAGCCTTTGAGCTCCGATAAAACCGTCGATAGCGAACTGAATAGATGACTGGACCCATTCCTTGTTATGCGACAATGTTGTTCCCCCAAACATGCAGCTGGAAACCCTCGCCACAATTTGGGTGAGGACCTCCACAACGGGGACGGGGGTCCATTCTATGCCAGTCAGATCTCAAGACAGGATGTCAAGTTTGTAAAACATACCATCGCAGGTAGGAAATGTGTCATTGAATGCGTCTACAATTTCTCTTTGAACAGCAGGCATAACATCCGCTATTACTGTTTCAGCAAATGAGTATGGTTGCTTGGCTGAGAGGCATACACACCAAGGTGATGGTTCAACTGTGCCTTGACAACACGAGGGTGGAGTGTAGATCGGCTTCCCATTGTCGTGTACTTGCCCTCAAACATCTAATATTTTTTATTAGTACTGGAGAACGCACCCATTCACCATTTTGTTAGATCTTACTTCGATGAAAGTAGCCACAAAGTCGACATGGTCAATTGGAGCAGTCTTGAGCTCTTCAAGATACTTGGTAGGTATCATCAAGCGCTCTCCAAGTGGGCTTGGTACATAGAAAAATCCATCCCCAGACTGTGAAGTATTAGAAGTCTGCTACGTAGAAGCAAGTACAGGCTGCGTACAATCTTGTAACCCTGCTCGAGCATCTCTTTGGCATTTTCTCGAAATCGCTCCCTGTTTTGTTGTATGCTCTTTTTGTCATTCCCGCCAACAACTAAAACGCCGGGAGCCAGAATTTGCTTCTTAGACTGAAAGTTGTGATAGAATATCATACTCAGGCCACCGATGACGATCAGCGATGCCAACGCCCATAACGGTGATCGAATGACATCAATGTGCACCAATGCTGGTAACAGCAAAGACTCCGTGTCGAACAAGGATCCCATATTGAGACTTCGGCTGAAGATAGCGATGCAATGTTGGCGAGGACTCGGGAGGATGCGTGAAAGGCGAGAAAGTTCCCTTCGAGGTGCAGGCAGCCGACTTTGACAGTCTGACAACTGAGCTTCATGAGACGAAGTTTGCCATTCAGAGTGCCTTAGTGTATCTTCGGCGACAGCCAGTTTAGCAGAATTTCACTGTTTCATTCCTAAAGCGCTGTTGACCGAGCGCACCATTTCCGTATTAGGCAACTCGCCGACGCACCAATTGATGATGATACATGGAGTTGAATAACTTTAACGGTGCTGCACACTGCATGATCGAAAAGTTTCTTCTCACACAAGGAAAATAATACCACAAATCATCGTAATCATGGGAGAACCAATTCGCGACGAGCCACTCACCACCACTGTCACTCCGGCCAAGAGGTCGTTGGAGATCGACGACCCCTTTCAACCTTACAAGGTTGAGGGATTTGACGATGGGCTAAGATACGATACGCTCCAGGTCCATGCAGGCCACCGACCAGACCGAGAGACGCATGCTCGGGCGGTGCCAATTTACAACAGCGTGGTGAGTGGAGCTGTGGCAAATCTTCACGTGAAATTGCTGACAGTCTTCTATCAAGTCCTTTATCTTCACCGACAGCGCCCATGCAAAAAGGGTGTGTGCTATGGAGGGTGCTGGCTACTTTTACAGCAGAATTTCCAACGTGAGAGGTCTCCGAGAGCAGATTGCTTGGTTCAACGGCTTACATATTCCGCTTCAGCCAACAGTCGCTGTTTTTGAAAAGAGAGCCGCGGCTCTTGAAGGTGGAACTGCTGCTGTTGCCACCGCATCCGGACAGGCCGCAATCTTCAACACCATTATCTGTCTTGCTGGAGCTGGTGACAATGTAGTCGCCTCAATCAACCTGTACGGAGGCACTTACAGTTTGTTCAAGACCCTTCTACCTCGCCTCGGCATCTCAATCAGGTGGGCCAAAAAAGAAACTCGCGAAGAGTTTGAAAAGCACATCGACGACAAGACCAAGATGCTATTTGTCGAGACTATCGGAAACCCTCGTTGCAGCATTCCCGACCTGAAAGAGCTAGGAGAGCTTGCACATGAAAATAACGTGCCGTTCGTTGTGAGTAGCTTGCCCAGACATGATGATGTGACCTTCATACCTGACCCTCCGTTCAGGTGGACAACACCTTTGGTGCTTGCGGTATCTGGTGCAAGCCTATCGACTTCGGAGCAGACATCATTTTGCACTCAGCCACCAAGTGGATGGGTGGACACGGCACAACGGTTGGAGGTGTCATCATCGACTGTGGCACTTTCGACTGGGGCAAAGCGGGTGAAAGGTTCCCACGAATGATCAAGAAGGAAGGTCCTATGAGCTTCTCCTACTGGAAAGCTTTCGGAAATATCACGTTCGCCATGGCCATGAGAATCGATATCCTGATGGAAGTCGGATCCACTTTGGCTCCTGCATCAGCTCAACAACTCCTCATTGGAATGGAGACGCTCAGTTTGAGGTGCGAGAAACACGCGAAGAACACAATTGAGATTGCTCGCTTCCTGGAAGCACACCCTAGAGTTGCTTGGGTCAACTATCCTGGTAAGCATACACTGTCAACGACGGCAGCAAACGCCACGGTCTTGAAGTTCTGGCTTATCTAACCACGCTTGTAGGCCTCGAGAAGAATCAATATTACGAAAATGCGCAAAAGTACTTGAAGAACGGTTACGGAGGCGTTCTCGCGTTTGGTCCGAAGGGTGGAGACGTCGCTAGCAAGATGCTCATGAACTACGTGAGAGTCATCTCACACCAAACAAAGTAAGCCTCGAAGCGTCGGACTGGTTGACACAAATGCTAACATTCTGGCCAGTGTGGGAGATTCGAAGACGCTAGCCACTCATCCCTGGAACTCCACCCATGTTATCATGCCCGAGAAGGACAGGCGTGAAGCCGGAATTACGCCCGTGAGTGCTTAGTTCTGACTGTGAAGATGAATTGCTAACTCCGTCGCGCATAGGCTTTCATCCGATTCTCGGTTGGAACTGAGGATGTGAGAGACATCATTGAGGATCTTGATCAAGCTCTAGCGAAATTGCCCGACGACATTGTCAATGCTCATGATGAAAAGCTGGAGGCCAAATTGACTTCAAATGGGGACCGTCCGACTGTTATTGAAGCGGCTGTTTGCGAGAAGGTTGACTTCACTGATGCGGATGTGTCACTGTCCAAACAGAACGTCCCGATGGGTCGTCAAAATGATGTCGGGAACTGGTAGGCTCGCAAGGATTGAGAGGAACGTTTAATCGGAAGAATAGGAATCCAGCATAGCCCATTTGCGATCTGTAGCTACAGAAACTGTCGTTTTTATAAATAAAAAGAGTCATGCAATCAATAAATGCGTCAAGGAACACGCGGAGGGACTCTCTGTGTGTCACTACGGCTGGAGTTAAGGTGCGCAATTCAAATGTTTCGGGTAATCTGTTATGCTTCGTAAACTGCTCCATTAAGCGTCAATCAACTCACTTGTGAAGTGAAGCCCGGTTAACAGCGGTACAATTGTGAACGGAAAATTAAGCTTGGGATAACAGGAGCAATTACGAGTGATGCATAACATCGGAAGTATAGAAATGGTAAGCCGACTTGTAAAGACCCAATGTCAAATTCAATCCTAGGAGATATGAGGGGAACTGCCTTATCTTGAATGGCCGGTGCATGCGACTGAGATGAAACCCAAGTTTTCATAGATGAAGCCGAAACCCTTCAACGCTAAGATTCAATTTGATGAAATGCTGTGCATACTATGGAATCGCTATGAAATGCGTCTATCTCAAAATCATGCTGACCGTTGACGTTGCATCAAACAGAGTGGTATCTCGGAGTCGTCTCACTCCATGCCTCATTACCACTCATTTGGTATTCCAAACCCTTAATGAATGACTGCAAATCCTTGCTGCAGGGCTGCAGACTCCGTCTTCTTTCCACGAGCTTTTCATGAACTAGCTCCCACTCACGGCACATGGTCCACAACACCCTCTTCGATGCTTTGTAGTCCAAGCTGGTCTCAGAAGATAGGACCGACACAGAAGAGCAAAGAGCCGAGCCTTCTTGGTGACCTGTCTGAGATGCTTTCAGTTCCTTCTCCAAGCTGTAGATGTCGTTAACAACAGAAATGTGCTTGGAGCAGTTCATCTCGATATCATGGACGGTATTGAGCTCTTCTGCAGTGAGATCCAGGTTCATACTGAAACGCATCAATGCGGACAACAGCCTTCAATCTGTTAGCCGCGGGTAAAGAGAAGAAGTCTTGAGTGGGGGTGACCAACGCTTTGCCCACATCTCTTTCTCGGTACCTGAGATACTCCCCCAACTCCTGGATGGACAGACGAGATTTGTCTGTCTGAGCTCGCATGAAAGTAAAGACTGGTTCCAAGATCTCTTCTGCTAGAGCCTTATCGCAAGATCGCATGTCGTTCCACAGGTCGTATGTGATCCACTCTACGGGAACGTTGCGGTCAGGTTGCGTGTCGCCTCTTGACAAGAGGATCAACCGTTCGTTATACGCCGACCCATCTTCCAGTGACATATCCTCAAGCAAATCTTGGATACGTTAGCTTATTACCATCCACTTTTAATGGATACACGAGAAAGATCGGGCATCCCACATCAGGCAGTGATACTTACCATCAATCAAGAATAGCAAGGTCAACAGCCGGCAAGCAAAGCCTATTCTGTCGTCAAGGGCAACAGGATAGTAGAAGCAGGTTACTCGAGAGAAGCCTGCAGCGATGAACTTCTTGCGCGCTTTGTCGTTCTCGAAAGGCCAGTGCTCTAAGAAGAAACCGTTTACTTCGGCAGAGATCTGGGGCTCTAGTCGATGAATCTTGGCGGAAAATCGAGATACTGAATTTGAATTGGTCGGACTATACTCTCTGCTAATCCTTTCGTCCGAGTTCCATTGTACCTTCGGCGATGACGTTGTAAGAGGGAAGATGAGGGAAGCGAGCGCATGAAGGGAGAACATTGGGACGGTGTTTGATACAGCGGACTGTTCCCGCTGTCAAAGATATCAACTACTTCGTGACGTAGCCAAGATCAGATTGAGCACCAGTGAAATTCGATGACTGTGGTGATTTAAGTTTGATTCTACTTAAGGTTTTACTTGAGACGGAATTCGACCTCTGGACCCGACTGCTCGGAAACCCCTGCCCCATCACTTATCTGATGGGGGAATGCCCCGGCAATGTCAAACTCGGAACCTCCCAAAAAGGAAAATCGCCGCGTCAAGCAAACCATTAGACTCTTATGAGAATGACCAACGGCTACAAGAATAGCAGAACAACGATTAGAATGAGGGGAAGATAAGAAGAATAAGTTCGCAACATGTCGATCCCAGCAAGTCAAAAGGCGGTCTGTAGCCTCTTGAAATCATTGACATAACAGCGGAAAAACTGAATAACGACGAATTAAACCAACTGAGAAAATGTGAAATCTGCATCTCCCATAATTCTGAAATCTTGGACCGCCGTGTTCTCAAACAATACGTAAACTTCATCGTTATTCGCGGAAAATGTTCAGGAAAATGATCTCCACCTTCACTGGCCTGGGACTATGCTAAAGCTTCGGTCTGAAGTCTGTCGCAGCTTGCTGTGACCTAGTCTCTTGCAAGTTCTTCTCGCCAAACCATGACGTCCGACAGTCAGATATGGGCCCTTCCAACTCTGTATATCTTTCTCCCAAAGTTAGGATCGTTCTCCCATTCCAACGACCGGCGGAGCTCTCCCACGAAGCAGTGTCTTGCCCGTATCCCTGTACCTTCTTCGACTCCGTTGCAAATGCCGAATACGCAACTGCGACCCCTACGAAATGGGCTGAACTGACCGGAAGGCCAGCAGCTATGATTGGTGCGGCCAAGTCCGCTGGAAGTAGCTTAGTGATTGTTGCGGCAGGTGCAACCGTATTGATAGTGATCCCACTATCTCGAAGCGTAGAGCGCATGGCGCGCATGAAATTGACCAACTGCATTCATCAGTGAGATTTCTTCAAAGCCTCAGATAGCACTGTACTTACCGCTGCTTTTGTGCCACTGTACACCGGTAGTGATTGCTCAGCCAAGTATGCAGTCGCGCTCGACGTCAGAACGATGCTTCCTTTCGTCTGATTGGATTTCATGTTATGCAGTGCCAGCTTGACAAAGTTCAAGGTTCCACGCAGGTTTACGTCAATAACATCGTAGTTCGGTTCGAGCAAGTTGCCCTGGGCGTCGAAAGAGTCGGTGAGGTATGTACTATCTTCACTCTGCCCAGCATTTGCAACAGCGATGTGAATGACACCAACATCGGCAAACGCATCGCGCAGATCAGACCACTGGCTGATATCGCACTTGCGGAAACGAATTGTAGACGGCAACGTCTCCTCAGGCTCTGAGATGTCAAGGATAACAACATCGGCACCCTTAGCCGCCAAGACTTTGGCTGTGGCCAACCCGATCCCAGATGCCCCTCCTTCAACAAACAAGTCAGGAAAGATGGAGGCTTAGACAACGTTCTGTAATTGCTTACCTGTGATAATGGCCTTTCTGCCGCTCTGCAGCGGAATATCCTCTTCCTTGATTGATAAGGTAGCCATTGTGGAGTAAGTGTGGACAGGGGCGTCTGCTGGTCTTGGTATCCCGGTCAATCTCTCACGATGCGGGCACTGACAGAGACTTATTTGACGGTCGCTACTTCGTGCGAATGTCTTTTTCCGTGATCGGCGTCTGCCCTGCCAGTTCTGCTCCCGAGTTTGTATGTCGTGTTACCAGAAACCGAACCGATCGGCCGGCTGGTGCCGGAGCCAACCATCTGCACGGTGCGCCAGGGACACGGAGTATTACCGTTTTGGGATAAAGTATCCTCCGTCCTTTATTCCTCTTACCAGGGTCTGTTTGCCTGAACTCCGAGTCTAGAGGTCGTTTGGTCGGACACGCAAACTCTGGGACAGCCAATTAAGAAGTCGCTATTACTTTTGCGGTGAGCCTAAACACCGGCCTACTTCTCATGCCAGCAAGATCCAGCATGCTATGACCTTGGAAGCATCGTTGTGAATTTTGAAACATTTCGTGAACGACCCATACCATCTGATGATGGAAGTTTTCAACTATTCAGTGCCCACGACGTTGTTGTGGGCATTTGTCTTCGTACGTGTTGATCTCGACAGAAGTCTTGGTGGTAGCTATCTTTACTTACGCCGCTAGATATGCGCTAGTTTCACTCTGCTGAAGTGGAGGAGTATTCAGCGGCATCCTTTAGCTCGATTCCCAGGACCCTTCACAGCAAAGTTCAGCAATGTAAGTCGGAGATTTGCGTTGGCGTGTTCGTGAAGATACCCAGCTGACAGGATTTGTCTTGGAGTTCTCTCACTGTCGTAGATTTCTAGGCGGACGGCAGCCCTATGAAATGCTGAAGCTACATCAAAAATACGGTATGCTTTCTATGGTGTATTGCAAACTGACAATGGCTGATGATAAGACACGAACCAGGCCCCGTTGTGAGAGTTGCGCCCAATGAACTGTCGTTCAACACAGCCCAGTCCTGGAAAGACATCTATGACAAAAGGAAAGGCCATAGCCCGTTCATCAAGAGCGACTTTTATGATGGGGGGAACTTCGCTGCTGAAGCACACTCGATAGTCAGTGTGCGAGACCCTGACGAACATGCACAGATGCGTCGATATCTCCGCGACGCCTTTTCGGATCGTTCACTCAGGGAGCAAGAGTACCTCATTAGCCAAGTGATCGATCACTTCATCGACCGTATTGGAGAGGAGGGAGGCAAGCCTGACGGTATTGATATCGTCATGTGGTTCAACTTGACAACATTCGATATTATCGGTAGTCTTGCTTTCGGTCAATCTTTCGGCGGAGTCTCTTCAGGTTTGTGAGCACTAAACTTCGATCACTTCATTTGACGTGAACGCTGACCTTTCTCGCCCCTGATTGTAGGACAGGAGCATCCATGGGTCTCTATTGTGGTTAAAAGTCTTAGAATGGGAGCAATGGCCGACTGCTTCAAAAGGTTTCCTTCGGTTGGAGCAATCTTTCAGAAAGCCTTTCCGAGTCTTTTGACAAAGCTAATCGAGGACACGCGGAAACACGAGGCTTACACCACGGAACTGGTTCAAAAGTATGCTCCGGACAAATCACTTGGCAAGAGCTTATCAGTGGTCTAATTGCATTGTGAGCACAGACGAATCAACCAGCAAAGTGACCGAAAAGACTTCCTCACCAAGATCTTGGAGTATCGGCAGACAGACAATCTTTCCGACGTTCAGATTGCAGCGCACTCGTCGGACTTTGTGTAAGTGCTTCCTATCTGTTACTCGACACAAAGTCACTGACCAAGGGGCAGAATCGCGGGAAGCGAGACGGCTGCGACGGCATTATCGTGCATCACCTACTACCTTCATCACAACTCCAGCATCCTTGAACAACTCCGCCAGGAAATCCGCACTTCATTCAAAGCTTACGACGAGATTAATGACGCTTCAACCACGGGGCTAAAGTTATTGAATGCCATCATACTAGAGGGAATGCGGATGTACCCTCCACTCCCGTTCCCTCTCCCTCGGGTTGTTCCTCAAGGGGGAGATACAGTTGACGGGCATTTTATTCCTGCAGGCGTAAGTAAAATCTCATTTAATAATAGAGGTGAAACATTTCTGATAGTGTTTGCCCTCGCAGACTGTTGTGTCAACCAATCCTTTCGCTGCATCAATGTCACCGGAACATTTTCATGAGCCCTGGACCTTCAAACCTGAGAGATGGATGAACTCAAACAAAGAGGATATCCTCGAAGCAAGCCAGCCCTTCTCACTTGGAACCAGGAACTGTCTAGGGAAAAGGTAAGAGCTGAAATGTTTGTTGTATTTTCACTAGTCCAAGCTCACTAGCTGACGTTTCCTTTACAACCAAAGTCTTGGATGGATGGAGCTTCGTATTGTACTCGCCAAAATGCATTTCAAGTACAATCTGGAGTTGTTGGATCCCAGCATGGACTGGCATACGTCGTCGCAGATGCACACTCTTTGGCAAAAGCCAACTATGAAGGTCACTGTTCAGCCTGTTGCTCACTAAGGCTGGCAAGTTTGAAGGCGTAGATAGAGATATCTTCAATATCAATTATACCGAGATAAACGACGTCTTTTCCTATCTAGTACTGATGCTTTTTCAAAAAATGAAAGATGCGGGTCGCTACAAAGCAGTATGGCAATTCCTGTTTCGGCGAAAGCTCCCTAAGTTCTCGTAACCGCCAGCCACTCATCGGACAGTAATCGTCTGACTCTCGGCATCCTTCTCGGGATCCCAGTGACCCACGTATCCATCCCTTCCAGTAAGATATGTCCCTTTAGCCTGTTCTTCCGCTGAAGCACGGAAGACAGCATGTTTCTTGTTTGTCCAGTCAAGGCCCTTCCACACAATGCCTTCCGCGTCAACAAATTCAGCATCCATTTCAGGCCGCAGAAGATAGACGATGGAGTACTTGTGTCGTCCCATCTCATCTTTGTGAGGAATGATGCGATGCAGACTTGACTCCAGCACGCCTCCGGAGATGAAGCGCAGCGCATCTCCGACATTGACCACCGCGTGGCCGGGCTTAGGTGCAATGTAATACCAGGACTCTTCATTGGGCTTCAGAACCTGCAAACCCGCCACTTCGGTGAAGACAATAGAAAGACTGCCAGCATCGGAGTGCGCAATCTGGCCCACTTTGTCGTTCTCCACCTCAGCAAGCGTGTACTTGAGCAGGCCGAGGGCTGTCGGGCAAACTGCATTTTTCCGGTGGTACTGCTGGTATGCTAGGTTGTCTTTCAACCCCAAGGCTTCGGAGATTCGAGTGAGTAGAAGAATGCTCATTTCGCGGAAGCTCGACATGGCTTGTTTGAGTGGGTCAAGCTCATTGGCAATCACCGCCGGTCCAGGGAAAGACGAGGGATCGTCAATCTTAGAAATAGGATGCTCGAACAGCTACGTATGGTCAACCTCTGAAGGTGATGTACGAAAAGCGTAGTGCAGCTCACCATCAAGCCCTCAAAGCCATCCTTCTTCCCCTCCACTGGTCCGTTTCCATGACCGGCAGGCTTGTATCTAGAGAAAACAAAAAGAGTGCGTTAGTCGATTATGTGATTTATTCAGATGGTTCAAGGTTATTCGTACCCCATAACCAAGTGCTCATCGTGATCTCTGTCAACAAGCCATCTCGACTTTTCTTCTTGGGGAAGATTGTAGAAGCTCGTCGCAAGCGTGTACATGTCTTGAACTTCCTTCATGATCCTGCCTGAAGCGACATTGCGACAGTCGAGGTAAAAGAAGCCAAGGTCTGTGCATGCTTTCAAGAGGTCTTCCTTGACGGATGCATCTCCATCCATGAGCTTCTGGAGAGATACAACTCTCAGGTCTGCGTCCTCCTTAGCGACCTTTTCGGTGAGTGGAATCTGTGCAGACATGCTGGCGGTATAGACGTTCAGGATTGCAATGACTCAAAAGAAGTGTTATTGAAGATTGTGACGACTTCTTCACAGGCAGGAACGACGTCAGAAACACGGCCAGGTCATATCTGCGTTGCCAAAGCTCAAGGGTGCCATGTTCATCGGTGGTATGTACCAATCGCGTTGACCTTTGCGGGTTTCGGTATTTTCCCCTTTTAGGAAACACCGCAAAGTCACACTGTCAGTATTGCGAATCCGGCCACAATCGCACCCTAACCATCATGTCGAGAATATTTTGATCATTCCAATCTGCTATACAGTGAGGTGCAATGTGAGATTTATGCTAATAAAATATTATCTCGCGACCTGCTCGAACCTTATGTTCAGCGATGGCTTCCACCACATCACATGCATGTGACTTTGCTTCAGCCAATCCAGATCTTCATTCACCAGGTGCAAATTGTATGCGTAATGTATTTTTGCCAAAATGAGATTAATCTCAACAAATGCAAAGCTAGGTTGCCGCAAAAGTCAGTCAACTGCTGTCATCGGCGAGCGCGATCCTGGCCTTGATGGTTGCCACTTACTTCTTCCCCAAACACCCGCGAGGTCCCAGTGAGAACGGCTGGCTGGCTTCGAGGTTGTCTACACGATTCGTGCCAATCCACCTCTCCGGTATGAATTCATATGGCCTGTGGAAATTCCGCTCGTCGTGTGTTACTGTCCATGCACTTGTATACACTTCGGTCTTTTGATTGTACGAAGTTAGCGACGCTGGAAGAAGATTTTACCGCATGAAACTCACCCCTTTTGGAACCCAATGGCCGTCGATAGTTGAGCCAGGACAAGTCCGAGGAAATCCTTGCGACCCAGGCGGGTAAGTTCGGAGGCCCTCTGAAATCACTGCCTGTAAATATGGCAACTTCTGGGCAGACATGGCAGTGATCTCGTTGAGCGAGCTGTAGTTACTTCGTATCTCATGCTGGAGTTTGAGGTACGTCGCAGGGTTTTTGAGGAGGAAGAATGTTACTGCCGCTAGGAATGTCGCGACCGTCTCCCCTCCAGCAATACTTCGACCGTTGTCAGCCTGACAGTGCTCATCAAGTTGGAAACCCAGAAGACTCACACCAATGTTGACGCGTGAGCCGTCATCTCCTCTTGAGATACTTCCCCACTCTTCACCTTCTCCGATACATTTGTCAAAAAGTCGTGCCTCCCAAATTCACTTTGAAGCCGCCTTGAAACCATTTAGTGAGTCTAGCGTCGAGATGAAAGAGTGTGGTAACTCTACCTTTTAACTTTGGTACGGCTGTAGCCTGAGTGACGATCTCGAACGGATACAGTCAGACGAGGAAGCAGTCTTCTTCCAAGAGCATTCAAAATCGGGTATCGGCGAAGGTTGTCAAGAACTGTGACAAAGAAGAGATGTTCCACAATCATATCAGACCAGAAATGAGACTTTCCTAGATGACTGTGTCAGCAGAGAATGAACTGCGACAAATGAGGTCCAGTCATTACCTGTCTCTATGCAGTGGAAGCTCTCTCCAAACGCCATTTCTCCGAGAATATCAAACGCAACCATTTCAAACCACTTGGTCATGTCTAAACCCTTTTCGGATGTCCCGTTGGACTCGAGCCTGCCAATAAAGCCATCGACAACGCTATGGACTATGCTCTCTTGCTGCGCAAGTGCTTTGGTTGAAAAGGACGCTGACAGGTTTTTCTTCATCTGCGAATGCTTTTTAGGGTCCCTCTCACTACCGACACAAGGAGATTCAAAACCGGATCCGTACATATCATAGAATTCGCTCTTCGTCATGGTCTGCTTCCCCCCTACTGCGTGGCCATAGATATCTTTCCATGACTGCACCGAAGCAAAGGATAGCTCGTTTGGAGAAATTCTGACCACAGGACCTGTAAATCATTAGCAGCATTCTACAGTTTACATATTCAATGCGCAGGTAGTTACCCAAACGTTCATGCTGCTTCTGAATTGCCAGGTGAAAATGACCACTCATGGAATGACGGATTCGCCAAAGCTTTACCTTCGTGTTAGCTCACGCAGAAGCACCGTCGTTTGTCTCGGACGCACCAAAGATGCCCTTGCCCAGAAAGGGCCAGGAAAGGTAGCCAACGGGTGAAGAAACACGTTGTAAACAACATGATAAGTCGCGTATAACACAGTCTGTCATTTTTTTAGAGTTGTCAAATGTGACATTGAGAGCGGATGGTAACTTACACATAGCAGAGCAGCAACCCACATGACATGGATGGTCTCGATATTGTACCCGAAGGGTACTATGTTTCTCGTAACAGCCATGATGTGAAACTGGTCGTAGGAGTCTACGATCATCGAGGCACCTGAATGCAATGACCCAGAGAAACATGGACCAGTCTTGCAATATCTTCTAGAATCACGGTCCGTGGTTGAGAATTGGGCAGAAGCCTCTGCAGAGTTTATCCAGAATAGGCATCAGTCCGAGCCTGGCTCCACCTCAACGCCGGACCGCCGGTCATTCGGAGTTTCGATACCGGCAGTGCACTGGCAACACTGGTGATGCGCGCGCCAATCAAGAGCAAATTGGTATTGTATTGGTATCAATGAGCTAGTTCATTCCCTACTAACATCTCCTTCGTGAAAAACCAGCGCTCTCACTTCAATGCTATGTCTCGGCTCTCGATCCTCCATTTCGGGGTCTGTAAATGCTGCATGTGGAACCCTTCTCGCCCGCCCATCCGTCTTCCAGTCGTAGCACTTGATGAACATGACCTCCTCTGGCGTCTGCTGGCTTTTGTAGTACCACCTATGCGCCTTGTTCGGCAAAATCGTACACGGTTCTCCCACCCAATCGGGATAAATCAACTTGACCGGAACAATGTCTTCGTCTGGCACCGAGTGAGAGTCGCAAACCGCAAGAGGGTCCTTGTAGATGGTGTTAATCGGCCTCCAAACATTGATGAGTTGAAATCGGGACTTCAAAAGTCTCGGGCCGTCTTTTCCCAAATGTCGTCTGACCTGATTCTCCGACGCCCATTCAGATTGGTCGATATGGGCGCGCTTGACGGGCCGTCTTTCGTCGTCAGAGCTAGCAGCTGTGGGATTCGGTCTTCGGATTGTGTGATCAAAGATGCAAATACGGCTCGCTCCAGTGCTAGACGGTATTAGTACACTTTCCACGAGAAAACATCGATCGAGTGCTTACACTTCAAAGAGTAGTTGTTCTATCTCTGGATAATACAGATCCTTGATTTTCTGATCGTCGATAAACTCTTTCTCTTGGCTGACATGGCGGTGCAGTTGGAAGCCATGGCTGTCGAGCGTGTATTTGTCTTCGCTTCCAGTGATGTCGGTCACGACAGTCTCAAAGTCGATTGATGGATGGACAAAGGTGCTTCTCTTCCCCGCAATGCTAGGTGCATGCTTAGTCCCATCTCCGGGGTCCTTGTAGTAGTTGATCGTGGTCCGGACGTTGCGTGGGACACCCGATGACGATTTTGCTACCTTTTCATCGGAGGTTGCCATGACTGTCCGAGTCGCATCCCAGCAATCAGTGCAGCGCGAGATAACTTTTGTGGTAAAGTTTAAAAGTTTGACAGGAACTTAATTGCATTCTTCGGGAATGTGGGCAGAAGAAGGGAAGTACATAG